ATATAAATCATTATTCACAATCGAGTTGCTAATTGCCTACAAATTTCATCCCTTGTAATTTGTCCAGTATTGTCTTGTACATGTTCTTCCTGTTCGTATTGTGCCAATTGTATATGTGCCAATACTAGATCAGGATATTCATCATCCAGTGGTGCTTCAAAAACGTCCATGTCATTTGCATTTGCGATGTTGTGCAAAATGCAACATGCATGGATAACTTGAACCATTCTTACAATGTTACGCAATTTGAAGTGATATAATTGACGAAATCGTTGCTTCAAATCTGCAAACGAAACATAAACAACTCTCGTAATGAATGGAAAGGATGAATGAAGGAAAGAATCTTGAATGCATGTAGAAAACGAAAAAAGTAAAAGCCATTCGAAATGCTTTTGGATAGCAATTGCTCTTTTTCATATATAATTACCACCATCTCGCCGTCACTATATCTGCTTCCTGTCGGCATCTAAGCAACATTCGTCTTTGGTAAGATATTCTGAATAAAATAGTATATATTAAAGTTATTTATATATTATTATATATACAGCATATATAGTATACATAGTATATAAGTTATTTATATTATTTTTTATATTAAATACTTACTTAATAGAATCATAGTATCCTATGCCCAGTAAAGAATTAACGAAGTCCATTGCTGTTATTATATACTCATCGACGTTGCAGACAGAAATATGTAACTTAATTAATGCATTACTGTAAATTAAAAATACATAATTAAAATATAAAATATCAGCATATACAATATCATGAAATAAATTATTATATTAATACGTAATTTCAATGGAATTTAGATGGTCGATTCTCCTGTTCCTCTGGAGATGTGCAGAAAAATTGCTGGCATCGGAGGCAGATGCATAGGCGAAGGATGCGTAAAGTTCTTCCACTTGCTTCGATATCACAGGCTTGCTGGAATTGATCATCCCGACAAAGAAGCGATCAATCGTTGTATATTATTATTGTGTTTATTATTATTGAAAATAATTATTGTTGTATTATTGCTGTGTTTATTATTATTAAAAATAATTATTAATGTTAATAATTATTGTTTAATATTTATTATTTTTGAAAACATAAATAAATTTATAAAAGAAATTTAGCGTTTACTTCATTATTACTTACTACGATATATTTTATGGTATCCGAAGGGTATCTTAAGAATTGTCCACTGCGCCAAATACATTTTTTTCATTTCACCGTGTACAAGATGATTGTCCATCACTTTGACAATTATCGTAATCTATCATAACCACTGAATGTAAGAGTTTAAAGATGCTGGCCTGCTCTGTCAAAATTTTTGGTTCCGAAACCATCGAATTAAAAAGCGTTGCAACCTTTTAGTCCCCGACTGTACATATATGTATTACTCTCCCCCCCTCCCCGTTTCAAGACCGACGATAGTTCGGCGCGCAATTTGGGGAGAATTTTTAGATAGAGTTGCGTTTCAAGACTGACGATTGTTCGGCGCGCAAGTTGGGGGGGTGGGAGGGTAATACATATATTACTTTGAATAAATATATTGCGAAGAATATTACTACGTCGACTCACCATCAAAGGTCTATAGATATTCGCAAAAATTCTCGCAAGTGCTTGGATACGCGTATATCTGTATATATAAATTCTCGATCTAATAACTTAAACAGGCGTCTAAGGTAGGCTTCCACTACATTGCCTTACTGATGAGTCCAGTAGTGGAAGCTTGGACGAAACGCCATAATTACGTGATATTCTTCGCAATATATTAGATTATAATTTAAAGATTTTAACGATATTATTGGCTCATTGCCCTCTTTCTCTATATTATTTGTTTTTAAAAACATATTGAGCCTTATAATAAAAAAATGTACATCTCAATGTACATTTTTTATTATCTATTTTTTTGCTTATGACGTCACAATTTGAAGTAGTAGTGACGAGTGAACAGAAGTCCTAATTTTAAATTAGTTTTAGTTCGACAGTCTCGAAGTCCTGTCTGTATTGTATTGTATATATCATAGCCGCCTTTCAGGACATATAACGTTCGATTCAAAATTTTTTATATTTTACTAGCTATGCACCCCCGAAAAATGGATTTTGGTGGCTTGGGATAAGAGACTTGTAGTGTCTTTCAGTTTCCTAAACTACCACGTTTCCTGATATCTAATATATATTATAATATGTATACAGGGTGTCCCAGACTAACCGGAAAATATTACATGAATAAGTAGAGCGGACTGAACTAAATCGAAAAGTTCTCTACCGTTTTGCAATTTTCGCAATAATTAACGAGATAATAATTGGTAAATATTACCAAATACGTGCGTCCGCTCGGTCTACTACTGCCAACAGTGTACGCCCATGGTAGCTCGATGGCGCGCGGACAGCGAAGAGCGGGGACTTCCTCGCAAGTGCGCCGCTGTCTGAGTCACGACGATTGGGGCGAGCGGCGAGCGGCGTTGTGCGCGGCATGGGACGCTTGCCAGGCAGTCCCCGCTCTCCGCGGTCCACGCGCCACTGTTGGCAGTAGTAGGTCGGGCGGACGCACGTATTCGGTAATCTTTACCAATTATTATCTCGTTAACTATTGCGAAAATTGCAAAACGGTAGAGGACTTTTCGACTCAGTTCAGTCCGCTCTACCTGTTCACGTAATATTTTCCGATCACTCTGGGACATCCTGTATATGTACATATTTTAATTTTAAGGGTCCAGTCTCATTCGTTGGGTCAAAAAATCGAAATTTTTTGTTTTGCGGATTTCGATAGCTATTACTGTCTAGAATGTTGTGCTAAAAGGGCAAATCGATATTCGTTACGATTCAAAAGTCACAAGTCATTGAGTCGACCCGTGCGGAAGCACGCATCGAGCGTCTCCCAAGGGTACGTAGCGCCGGCTAATATCCCACTACATTCGTAGAGTATTCGGTCGATATCGTGTTTTTCTATGAAGTTTCTACTTATGATTACAGATGGAGCCTATTTACATTGAACTCTTGACTATTTTTACTGGTAAAATCAGTTTTCTAACCTATATAATACACGTGCTCGTATCTATCGCTCCCGCGTTTTCTATCTCGCTGTGTATAAAGTATAAGTGGTTTTAAAACATGCATAAATCGAAAAAGTGTCATGGAGAGACTAATGATCGTCCTAGTCATCGACGATCAAAAAGAAAATTCTACGGAAACCGTTATTCGAACGAACACGAAACCGAATTTGCAAGCACCTCAGCGAAGAAAATAGCACAATTTTAGTTAGTTTTAAGTTAAATATTATTTGAACTATAAGCCATTAATAAGATAGAATCTGTGTCTTCCACTTCTCTCAAGCGCATACGGCGACGCTATCTCTAAAATTTGTAAAACGGACTTCAGGATTAAGTTTTTAGTAATAATTAATATTACTAATTGTAGTATTATTGTAGCTAATTTTATACTACTAGAATACAACAAGCGCGCGCTACTGAGCTTTTTATTTTTCAATATATACTCTTTTGTTTAGTCCTTGTTTAGTCTTTGTTTAATTAAATTTCATTATATTATTATTTTGATATATAAAAAAAAAGAGGAATTATATATATATTTCTTTATACACATAATTTTTAATTTGTTTATTTTCCCGTTGACTACCAAGATAAATTTTTAATGCTTGCCAAGAACGTACTCGTGAAAAACCAACATAAAGTTGTCCATGGTTAAAAACATCTTTGCGAAAATCTATTCCTATTTTGTCAAATGTCTGATCTTGTGATTTATTAATAGTCATAGCAAAAGCTAATTTTATTTGAAATTGTATTCTTTTAAAAGTGAAAGGGTATACATTTTCGCAATATAATGTTATACGGTTTAAAAATACAATATCTCCTACTTTACCATCTGTTAAAATTTTGCATTTTAGTAAATGATCAGCTAGCTCTATAATCATTAATCTGGTGCCATTGCAAAGACCTTCATTGATACTTAGATTTCGTATCAACATAACGATATAATTTGGTTTTAAACGTAATTTATAAGGAGGAAGAGATGATGGAAATAAATAAACTGTTTAAATATTCTACTTGGTAGTATGACTTCATTAATCTCATCGTTATCACTGCAATTTTCAGTACTATCTATACTTGTATAAATTCGTTCTTCTAATGTATCTAGCAATTCGACAACTTGTATATTAATTTCATCTACATCTTTATTTCTTGCAGAAAGTATTGCACACTTCGCCATTTTATTGAATTCTTTATTTAGTATTAATTCACCATATACAGGTATATCTTCTGCAATATTGGCATTTATGGATGCAATACAATTATCTGAAAGATGTACATTATCGTTAGAATCATAGGAACTTTGCAAATTCATTTTCTTCTGGAAGAACTCTCATATTTTTTGATAAAGAGAAACTTGTAAAGTATTTCCAAACATAACTAAACTTGATGGAAAGATTAACGATTTCACTTCGAGTACCATGTAATTTAATAGGAAGAAGTTGTCTGAAATCACCACCTAATATGATAATTTTTCCACCAAAAGGTAAATTATTATTCATAATGTCACGTAACGTTCGACTTATAATTTCTAAAACATATCGTGGTGCCATTGGCGCTTCATCCCAAATAAAAATATCTATTTGTACCCTCTCCGTGCTGATCACTTTTGCAAAGGCCAGCAAGAGCATGCAAGATGTGGGGAGAATCTCTCGAAATTTAGGCAGACCCAGAGAGCCCGCGAGGGCGAAAACTGCAACCGAGGAAAGAAGGCGATGGCACACGGCGGCTCAGGCCCTCGGACGCGCTGAAACCAGGCAATTTAACCATCGACATATAGTATGGACTGTCCATATCCATACATAAAAAGTGTCCGGCGAATTAGACAAAGAGGAAACGCGGTGTGAGTCAATCGCTCGCTCTTTCTAATACTCCTATTGGCTGCTTTTATTACCGCCCAGTGGATATCGTAATGTATCGCTAGACGGTAGAAAGAGACACAGCTATTAGAAAGAGACAGAGCTTGACCCACACCGGTCGCTATCTCTTTCTTTTGGGCCGGTCATATTCTTTCAGCCTGTGCGCAGTCCATACTATATGTCGATGAATTTAACCGAAGGAACGATTTAGAGAAAAAGAAACAGACGGCTATGCGACAGACTCAGATTTCGCGCCGAGCCGTACGAAGCCACGAGGTTGTCGCGGGCCCACGCGATTCGCAGGGCCGCGTGAGACAATTAGCGGCCAATAGGATGCGAGGATGGCAGGACTCGGTATTACGGCGCGGCCTGCGTGCTCCCTGCCGAAACCATATATGGCCTCACTTGCGTGGCGACCACGAGCTTAGACGTTGCGTCGAGAGGACTTTGTAAGAGGGGCCAGGATCCGAGCCATAATAGTCGAACGGATATCGAGGGCGTAGAGGCTACCGAAGGGACCGAGGAAAAGCTGAGGAGATTCCGGAAGGATCGGTGAGACAAGCGTCGCTAATTGTGAGGCCGCTGATCCGCTACGTCGCGATAGCGAGTGAGGCGCACGTGCCGAGAACATGCCAGCCGAATACCGCCCGTAAAAGAGGCTACCGCGGATAACGATTGTAGGATACCGCTCGAATCGCCTGTAGAATCATCGCGTAATTGTACGTAACGCTCGCCGTCTTCGTGTCGCCATCACCCAGCTAGCAAGGTCACGTGATAATGACGTGAATTTTTGGTACAAATAACGTCAATTATGACATAAAAGTAACGTTATTCTGACGTATATATCACGTGAT